CCTCCTCCTCGTTTCCATATTCCTCCCCCCTCCTCCCCCCCCCTCCTCCTCCTCCTCCTCCTCCTCCTCCTCCTCCTCCTGCCTCCTCCTTAGGCCTCCTGCCCCCTCCTGGGGCCTCCTGGGGCCTCTTGGGGCCTCCTGGAGCCTTCTGGGCCTTCCGGGACCTACTGGGGCCTCCTCGGGCATTCCTCCTCCTCCTTTTCCTCCTCGTCCTTCCTCCCCTCAGCCTCTTCCTCTTCCTGCTTTCCTGTCTCGTCCTGCATCATCCCTCCTCCTTTTCCTGGCAATCCTCCTCCTCCTCGTCCTCGTGCGGAACACGACCCAGAGGAAGCGCACGACGTGCGTCCCAACCGATACGCGCCGGAGGACGACCCAGAGGAAGCGCGCGCCGGAGGATGGAGGATGACCCGGAGGAACCACGTGAACTGCGGGACCCATAGGAAGGCTCCCGCTTGACGCGTCCTCACAATTCACTCACAGACGAGGGTCCCGCTTGATACTTCTTCCAAATTCAGACCCGAGGAGCCCAAAAGTGACGACAGTTACATGAATCCGATGACCCGCTCGGATTAGTAACATGATCTGCGGGCCCCATAGGGAGGGGGCTCCCGAAAAAAAGACTTGCTCGCAATTCGCTGACAAACACGGCTCCCGCCTGATACTTCCTCCAAATTCAGACCTGAGGAGCCCAACGGTGACGACAATTTCAGGAATCCGATGGCCCGCTTGGATTAATAACATGATCTGCGGGCCCCATAGGGAGGGGGCTCCCGCCAAAGACTTCCTCACAATTCACTCACAGACGAGGTTCCCTCTTGATACTTCCTCCAAATTCAGACCTGAGGATCCCAAAAGTGACGACCTGCGGGCCCCATGGGGAGGGGGCCCCCGCCTGAGACTTCCTCGCAATTCACTCACAGACGAGACTCCCGCTTGATAGTTCCTCCAAATTCAGACCTGAGGAGCCCAAAAATGACGACAGTTACAGAAATCCGATGACCCGCTCGGATTGTTAACATGATCTGCGGGCCCCATAGGGAGGGGGCTCCCGCCTGAGACTTCCTCACAATTCACTCACAGACGCGGCTCCCGCTTGATACTTCCTTCAGATTCAGACCTGACGAGCCCAAAAGTGATGACAGTTACAGGAATCCGATGGCCCGCTTGGATTAGTAACATGATCTGCGGGCCCCATAGGGAGGGGGCTCCCGCCTGACGCGTCCTCACAATGCACTCACAGACGAGGGTCCCGCTTGATATTTGTTCTCCAAATTCAGACTTGAGGAACCCAAAAGTGACGACAGTTACAGCAATCCGATGACCCGCTCGGTTTGTTAACATGATCTGCGGGCCCCATAGGGACGGGGCTCCCGCCTGAGACTTGCGAACGAGGCTCCCGCTTGATACTTCCTCCAAATTCAGACCTGAGGAGCCCAAAAATGATGACAGTTACAGGAATCCGATGACCCGCTCGGATTGGTAACATGATCTGCGGGCCCCATAGGGAGGGGGCTCCCGCCTGAGACTTCCTCGCAATTCACTTACAGACGAGGCTCCCGCTTGATACTTCCTCCAAATTCAAAAATGAGGAGCCCAACAGTGACGACAATTACAGGAATCCTGTGACCCGCTTGGATTATTAACGTGATCTGCGGGCCCCATAGGGAGGGGGCTCCCGCCTGAGACTTCTTCACAATTCACTCGCAGACGAGGTTCCCTCTTGGTGGATGATGGTGATGGGATGATGACGACGGTGTTTGATGATGATATATGATTGATGATGATGATGATGATGATGATGATGGTGGTGGTGGTGATGACGACGTGATGATGATGATGATGATGATGATGATGGTGGTGATGATGAGTGCTGATGGTGAGTAATCGTGCGATTATGATGGTAAATGGTGGTGATGATGATGGGGACGAACTGGTGAGTCAGCGAGTAGTGATGATGATGATGATGATGATGATGATGATGATGATGATGATGATGATGATGGTGATGATGATCATGATGATCGTTCGATGCCGATGATGGTGAGTGATCGTGCGATGGTGATGGTGATGCGGATGGTGATGATGATGATGAGTGGGGAGTGATGGTGATGGTGATGATGATGCGGAGGAGGAAGCAAAGAGGAGCAGAGGAGAGGGAGGAGGACGAGCGATCCTGCGCGGAGGGTGTGCAGACACAACAAAAACCCCACTTAGGATGTGGGGAGAAACGGCGTTGGAACCAGCAACAAAAACGGCAAAACGGAACCGGGGAAAAAAGGGCCTGTCGTTTCCAGGGCCCACTAAGTCTGGGTTCCCTTGCGGTAGGCAGGCCTCTCCTTGGTGCCGTGTGCGGAAAGGGCGCGGCGGCTCTCTCCTCTGCACGGGGTGCTGGCGCGGCTGGGCCACCGCTCGGGTTCCGCGCGTGCACGCCCGAGGACCGAGCGCGTCCAGGCACGGCCGTCTGTCTGTCTGTGTGTGTGGGGGCATTTTGGACCTCCGCGCGGGGTGTTCCTGCGGCGGGCAGTGTCTGAGAAGGCGAAAACCCACCCCCACCCAAAAGTCCCGACCCCATTTCCGAACCCTCGATCCGGGGGGTCGGAACTCGGGGTGGGGGTGGGTTTTCGGGGCCCAGGAATAAAGAAAACCCACCCCCGCCCGCAGTCCCGACCCCCCAGATCGCGGGCTCGGGGGTGGGCGTCGGGACTGGGGGTGGGGGTGGGTTTTCGCTTTCTCAGCGTCTCTTCTCTGGGCTCTTGGATGGGGTCCGAGTAGATGGGGTCGGAGGAGCGCGCCGCATCGCCGATGCATCGGCGATGTATCGGCGATGTGGAGCCCGATGTTCCCCACGCCGACGTCGCGGATGCGTCGCCGACGTCGCCGATGCATCGCCGATGTATCGGCGAGGCGGCGCCATCCTCCGACCACATCTGCTCCGACCCCATCCAGGAGGCCTCCATCTTCTCGGGCCGGACGAAAGGGGGGGATTTGGAAAGGGGAGGGTACGAAATTTGCTGCATGCAGCTGGCTTCGGCCCCACCGTGGGGCCCATTCCTCGATACATAGCCGCCTCCAGCGCCGGGAGGCGCCGGGAAAATCAGCTACATGAGCTGATTCTCAACCCCCGCCTTTGCTATCCCCCCCTTTCGCCCGACCCGATCTTCTCTCCCCGCCATCCTGGCCCAGAGGGCTATGGCTGTCCACCCCCCCGGGGCGGCCAGCGCGGCGACCCGCAGCGATTCCGCCGGAGGGTCTGGCCGGCGGCGCGCCCGCTCCCGCCGACACCTCGACTTGCTCCGCCTCGTCGCCGCGCGCGAGGCAGGTCCAGCTTGGGCGACGGGGGCGCCCGGTGAAGCCCCCCTCAAAAAAGCTATCGACTACACGTAAGAGTGACCCCTCGCCAGAGTGGCCTTTGGTGATGGCCCCGAAAGGAGGCGGGTGCTTTTTCTCGTGGAATGAGCTCGACCTCGCGTCGGCACTCGCATCGCGCGATCACGCTCGAACCTGAGCGCGCCAGGTGTGGGCCCACCCCTTGCAATCGACAGCAACGCATACGCGTCGCACCCTACAGCTTGCATTGGTTACCTGGGGGGGAGCCCGTCGACCAGACGGCGCGTTTTCCGGCCCAGGACCAGTCCCGAATTTCAGCTCAAATCCGGAAACGTTTTGCTTGAATATCTTTGGATATGTTGGGATATCTTTGGATATTTTCGAATAGTTTTGAATCGCTTGGGATCTTTATAATTAAAAGTGACCCAAATATATTCAAACATATTCCTCGCTGTCGGATGGAGCCGGCTTTGGGCATGACGCTGGGCCTTGTCAGACGTCATCGCGATGCAGCCCTGCAGTGCCAGACCTCCTCGCGGTGGCCCCCGGCAGCGTCTGCTTTTGCAGCGCCTTCAAGTGCCATTCGGAGTGCTCGAATTAAATCGGCGGACTTCCGCGGCTGCCCGCTGGCACAACAAATCTTTCGGGTGGCGCCCCGCCGATCGTTGATGCGGCGCGGCAACGTCGGCTTGCGCGACTGCGCCGGGCTCCCACGGGCGCCCCAGAAACCGCGCACCAAAGGTCACTCCAGCCCAGGGTCACTCCTACGCGCAGTCGAAAAAATCACCTACCGTGCAGTGTTTTCGGAGCCGAAGCTGTCGCCCTCGACGAAGCATCGAAGGAAGTGGCCAGGCCCCTTTCTGAGTCTTGGAGCACAAGCGGCTGCAGTTCGGGCTGCTTGCGCCGCGCCAAAGCCCTGGGTAACCCAAAGCATGATTTTGCTTCGAGCGATCCCGCCCGAGACCGCGAGGCGGGATCCCCAGGGAGCAGCGTGTCTTCAGGGGCCCGGCGGCCGCGGTGTGCCGTGGTCGTGCGTCGAAGATGCGGGGCGGGGTGTCAAGGAGCACCTGGCCCCTTGGCGCCTGGCGGCCGCGGCATGCATGGAGTGCTCGGCGGGTCGGGAGCCTTCTTTTTATTTTATTATATATATATATATATAACTAACAGCCCCACCCTGTTGGGTTGTGCGAAAGACAGTTCTGGGGGTTGGGTCGAGAGCTCGGGCTTGCACGCCCGACATGGGTACGGAAAAACGGGCACGATGCCCGACGGCACACGTGGTCCAATCCAGGCAACGGCCGATGTTGGGGAGGCGATGTGTGCCTCGAGTGGACGACGTCCGCGGCGACGCAGACATGGAGTGTTGTTCAAGACGGACAGGAACTGCTGTTGGCCTCAGTCCCCATTGTTCCCGTAATGCTTGACCTGGAACTGTTAATGCAGGACCCCCCGCCTTTCCCAGCAGTTGTGTTGGCTACGGAGCTGCTGCGTTTCAGCTTTTGTTGCCTCGATGTCGAGTACCCATTTCTGTCGCACCGACCGTGGAGCCGACTTCGCAGAACATCCGACATTCAGCGGTCGTTCCTGGGCATCATCTTCCCCTCCTTCCTCTTCCCCCCCTTTCCTCTTTCTCCCCCTCTTCCCCCCCCACACCCCAGGAGGACCAGGGCAGAATGCTCTGGATCGCCGTGGGGAAGTCGAAGATGGCCAGCAGCTGGGGCAAGCCGTCCTTCTGCAGGGGGTCCTTCCCTGCCGTCGAAGACGCGGACCTGTGGTGGACGGAATTCAACGCGGAGGGAGGGGAGGCTGCGCAGCCGCGGCCAGGGCTGCTCAGGATTTGGATCGTCACCGCCCACCAAACCACCCCAACCCAACCCGAAGGCCCCGATTTGCCCTCCATTTCCAGTTGGTGGGGGGGTCGGGGAACATGGAAAAGCACATATGAAGCCCGTACCCCCCCAACCCGAAATTCGGGTCTTCGGGTTGGGTTGGGGAGGTTTGGTAGGTGGTCAGATCGGGTCCCGGGATGCGTACCCGTCGTCTTACAAGTCCTGCCTCGGGCCCCGGGCGGCGGGCTTGGACAATCTGGGCGGCGCCGCGCTGCTCTGGACGAGGCCCGGCTGATGGATCACGCACGGCCCGCTGCCGAGCAGCCCATCGAGAATTACAAATCTCAGGAGGGGAAACAACGCACAGACACAATCGTCGATTCCCCAGAAAATAGGGGAAACTATAGGCAGTGGGGGGGAAGACAGAAACCCAGGAACTATGAGAAAATATGGGGGATCTGTTTTATTCGTGTGCATTTATTTGTGTGTCCCAGGGCCCCGTTTAAAATCCCTAACCCGAATAACACAGTGAATGCGTGGCCTCACCGAGGTCCCCGTCTTGGCATTAGGGAATCCTAGCTCTGGGCGGTTTGGTTCGATACCGCTGCAGAAAAGACCCCCTTATCCCTAATGTTTGTTGGCTCAGAAGCCTCAGAGAACCTTTCGAGCAGCTTCTGATCGGGGCTCTCGGAACGGGGTTCAGCCGGAGCGCCGGATCCTGCGGGACCTTGCAGGGCTGGAGTTGGGCTGAGCCGGGTGCGGGAGCCAGAGGCGGCCCTGGAGGTGTCCTCACACACCGACCGGTGGATCCCAGCCTGGGACTCCCCCCCAAGAGCTGCCGCGCAGCTTTTCCCAGACCGGCTGAGCCAGGTTCGGGGAAGCGTACGACTCAGGAGGAACAAAAAATACACAGACACAATGGATGGTCTATCCCCAGGAGAATATGGGAGAATAAGGGAAGTTGGGGGGAAGACGAAAGCACAGAAAATATGGAAACATATGGGGAATCTTGGGATTTGTGTGTAATCTTGTGTGTCCCTGGGCCCCTTCCAAGACTCGAAATTCGCCGAGACCCGGGTTTGCCGACGCTGTTTGCCCGGCTCGTCCCGGTGCAGCTTTCGGGGGCCGTCCGCAGCGGGAGGTCGCGCTTTTTTTCAGATTCTGTCTCGTCACTTTCCTGACGGCCCCGTCAGGCCAACCCGAGTCCGAGCCCCCCGAGCCCGAGCCTCACGACTCCCCGACGGGCTTGCGCTGAGCCGGTCGAGTCCACGGCCCGTTTGTAGACCTTCGTGGAGGAGTAGCGTCTGCGCCTGGCGTCGAGCGATCCTGAGCTTCGCTCCCAGGGACTTGCGGCATCCCTCCTCGCCCACGCACCTAGATGTTCGTTGTGGTGCCCTTCCTGGGTGGCACCTGGCGGATACGTTCCACTCCCAACTCGAGCCTGGTTCGGCTCCAGCTCGACTCTGGCGCCTGGCTCCAGTCCGACACAGGTCGACGGACGTTCGGCGCAGCATCGACGCGCGAGTGGAGCGAGTGGAGAGACAAAAACCCAGGAAACATTGGAAAATATAGGGAATCCTATTATTTGTGTATCTTTCTCTCTCTCTCTCTCTGTGTCCTTTGGCCCCTTGACTAACGGGTCACGCAGCGCTCGGTCCTTCTTTTTGCTCGTCTGTCGGCGCCGGAGGGGCTGGCATGTTGTTCGTCGGCCTCCCGACCTCTGCTGGGCGGAAACCCAACACGAGAGCGGGGGGCGAGGGAACGGAGCCGGGGGGGAGAGGGGGGAATGTTCGAACGAGGGGGCAAGTGCAGAGGTGGGGGGTGGGCACGGGAATGGGGAACTCGCGAAGCGACGTGAATACATCATAGGAGGCTTAGGATTGGGCCCCTCATCGGGCCGCATCTCGGCTTGGGAGAGCACCCTGTGGCCAGCGCCCAGCCTCGCTGGTGGTGGGAGCCCGCCTGCGCCTACACTCACCCTTAGGGCCACGAGTTGGAAGATGGGGATGGGGTGGAGGAGGAGGGGCAGAGAGGGATGCGGGGCGCAAGGAGGGGCAAGTCGGGCACGAGGCGGGGGAGGACGGGACAGAGGGGCGCCGAGCGACCGGCAACCAGCCGGAGCCGCCACGTCTCCCGCAGTCTGCCCCGTGCGGGAGGTCCGGCGAACAGGTCGGCGGGGCGGCCGCCCCCGGCTTCTCTGCCCGCCAGTGCATCGGCGAGCTCGGACAGAGGGAGAGCGAAAGAGGGAGAGAGCGAACGAGCTAATGAGAGAGAGAGAGAGAGAGAAAGTTAGGGGGCCACATGCGAACCCTACCCCTACCCCACCACTTCTGAAGGGGAGGGTGGGGTTCACTTCTCTCGAGAGCTCCCGAACGGAGTGAACCCCACCCTCCCCCTCAGAAGTCGTGGGGGGCAGGGGTAGGGTTCGCATGTGGCCCCCTAAGAGTCGGACGGGGCTACGACGAGGATGACTCCGCTCCAAGGCCTTCTGGAGCGCTCTCAGAGCGTTCTGGAACGCTCCGAGAAGGCCGCGGCGCCCGAGATATTCTCCAGAGCCGCCGGCTCGCAGAGATTCTCGATTAATCCTCGCCCGCACTTGTTTTCGTCCTAGCTTCGTCGTCTTAGAGAGGCAAAAGAAAGAGAGAGAGAGAGAGAGAGAGAGAGAGAAAAAAAGAGAGAGAGAGAGAGAGAGAAAAAAAAGAGAGAGAGAGAGAGTGAGAGAGAGAGCCGTGTCGCGTCGAGCCTGCGTCGCGTCGCTCGGGCCGCTCGGGCCCGCCGCGGGCCTCCGATGTCGGCGGCGCCAGACCGTCGTGCTGCGCTGGCGGCGGCCCGCGGGGCCACGCAGGCGGTGCACGCGGCTGCAGGCCTGGCGCGGGGCACAGGGCCATGAGGCTGCTGCGCACTGCGGAAGGCATCTGCAGGGCCGCGGTGGCGAAACTCGAGGCCGAGCTTCGTGCTCCCCCCGCGGCCGAGGAGACCCCGCCTCCCGGGGAGGGCCCACCAACACCAACTGCTGGCCCCACAGCGGCGGCGCCGCCCGGCGGCGCGGGCCGCCGCCGCCGCCGCGCGCGGAGGGCCAGGCGTGCAGGTGCTGTCGGCGGCCGTGCCGCCAAGGGACCTTCCGAGGCGGAGGCGGAGGAGGAGAGTGACGGGGTGGCGGCCGAGGCGGCGGCGGAGCGGGCGGAGGCGCCTGCACGTGCGGAGGCTGGAGCTGGCGGAGCTGCCGCGGCGGGCAGCGGCGGCGCTGGGGCTGGCGGTGCGGCCATGGGCCTTGTGCTCGCGCGCGTGCCTTCAGCGGCGGAGCCCACCGCTAAGAACGCGGACGAGGAGATCGCCGAGCTGAACGATGAGTGGGCCGACGCGGCCCCCGTGCGGCTCGCCCAGCCGCCACCCGCGGGCCCTGCTAGCCGCCGCGACGCCATCCTGGCGGCCTTGGCGGTCTCGCCGAGCTTCTCCATCGGCCCAGCCTTGGCGGCGACCTGGGAGAGCCGCACGGCGGAGGAGCTCGAGCAGCTGACCCCTTGGCTCCAAGACGAGCTCGCGGCGCTGGGCCACGCGCCGCGCGCGCCTGGGATGCTGGGCGCCGATGGCGCACCGCCGTGAGGCGAGTGCTCTCGGGAGCAGGCCGCCTCGCGGCGGGCGGGGCGCTGCTGGCCGCGGCGCGGGGCGGCCCCCGCGTGCCTCGGGCGCTCTTCCGCCCTCTCCTGGGACCTCCGTGGCGCCCCCTGCAACGGATGCGAGGATAGAGGGCGGCGCGGCTCAGCTTGCGAGCTGGCCGCGCCGTGCGGTGGGCTCGGTCTCGCCGCCTTGAAGTCAGGCCTGCAACCGTGAGGGTGAGAGAGAGAGAGATAGAGAGAGGGAGAGAGACAGAGAGTGAGAGAGAGAGAGAAAGAGAAAGAGAGAGGGACGGGGCTATGACGATGCTAGATCCGTTCCAGAGCGTTCCAGAACGCTTTCAGAGCGTTCCCTGACGCTCCGAGAAGGCCGCGGCGGCGCCTGATACATCCTCCAGACCCGCTGGGTCTTAGAGATTTTCGATTTAAGTATCCTCGCCCAGACTTGCCCTCGGCCTAGCCTTGTGATGGAAGACGCCTCAGAGAGGAGGGGTTCAGGTAGGAATCGCCGAATTATGAAAAATTATGAAACAAATACCAAAACATGTGAACTCATGAAAACATCAAATTGTACAAAAAAATGTCTACGCGGTTTTCGAAATTGCGAGAGCCAAGATTGCTCTGCTCGCGCGACCACCGCATGAACGCGAGGGGGTAAGACCTTGTTCGGGACGTTCGGCTGCAAACCCTTCCGCGAGAAATGGTCAGCCGCGGAAACGAGATGCCGTTTAGTAGGTCCATTTGCAGAAATGAAATGTTTCGACAGATTGAATAGGGGCCGCGCGATTCCGACGCGAGGTAGCAACGCGCTCGTCGCTGATGCAATGTACGCCAACTGGCTGCGAGAACTCGCCCTCCTCCTGCCAATAAGCGAATGGTCGACACAGTAGACGGCACTCGCTGCAGCTACTTTCCTATGCGCTCACCCATCGGCGCGCAGGGCCCTGCAGGATCAACGCGCGCGTTGAAGTCGCGCCCGCTGCCATTGTGGCATTATCCGCGCGATGCCTTTAACACCCTCGTCGGTTTAGGGACAACGCTTGCGGTTCGGCTGCATCGCCTGCAGTCGACCTGGCACCGTCTTGGGTTCGCAGCTTCATGTTTGCCCTGAACCTTGCGGCCAACGCTCTCGCAATTTGCGATGGGCCTTCGACGTCGCCCCCGTGCCCAGCAGGCGTTCGCCTGGGCACCTTGCGCACGAACGAAGTGCGCGCTTGTGTTGAAAAGTTCAGGACCCTCCATCCAATGTGGAATCGGCAATGCCTCTCTTTGCCCTGCGCGGTCGAGGGCCATGGTTCCTCTGTTTGCGGGGCCTGCGCGTTCCCACTAGACATGGGTCCTTCAACCGCG